GTCATACAAAACTGTGAAATGGTTTCCAAACAGCTTTAGGCCTCCGCTCTCCCATGACTGACTGGAAACATGGAACCTGCTAGAAAACAACGAGGCTGCCTCCTCCCACCTGCACCAGCACTGCGCCTGCGCCTCCTTCCCTGGGGCCGGGCCGCTGGCCTGTGGGTGAGTGGTTCTGAGACCTGAGCATCTCTGCGGTGCACATACGGGACAACACTATAATGCGCCTCACACTGGATGATGTTCCACTTTCGGAATTTTAGTATGTGTACATAGGAAATGGGTTAATAACTTACCGTGGTCCTGATTTGTCTTACATTCATCATTTCTTAAATCTCTTGTTTTTTATAATAAAAAAGCAAACACCTCCCCCCCCAAAAAAAAATAATAATAAGATTGTAATTAATCTTACAGTCCAGGAACAGAGGACCCAAGGACCATCAAGGAAGAAGAGCATGAGCAGAATGTGGGACCCTATCTAGAGAAGCACCAATTCCAGAGATGGAGGCAGGGACATGGAGAGAGAGAGCAGCTGGGGACTCCAGATTCATGGAAAGAGAGGGACTGAGAGCTGGTGGTCAGGAGGCAGGCTTACAGAATGTGTCCTTTGGTTGTTTAAATGATTATATATTCTGAGTGTTTTTGTGTCCAACCCAAAAAGCAACAGTAGAAGGAATAGAAGCAAATACTGTGAATGATGTTGCATGGAGATTGCAATTATTGCAATGAAATAATGAGTGTAATACCGACGTTCTCCCATGTAAACTGTCACTCAATTCACAATTTAAAAATGGTTTTTAACTTAAAAAAAAGAGAAAGAGATCAACAGGTTATAGGACCAACACTGAACTGCTAACCACAAGGTCGGCAATTCAAACCCACCAACCGCTCCTCAGAAACCCCATCAAGTTGGTTCCGATCCATAGCAACCCTGTATAGGGTTTCCAAGGAGCAGCTGGTGAGCTTGAACTGCCCACTTGCAGTTCAAACAGCTTTGCAGTCTGGCGCATTAACCCACAGCGCCACACCAGGACTCCCAGAAACCCTATACAGGGTGAATATTTACTTCTTAAGCAGTCCTGTGGAAACAGGCCTGGCCCCGATTATTGGAGGCTGTCTTTATAATGTGTGATATTTAGCACTGACTTTTTCAACTATTGGCCGGAGAGACAATTCCAGATTAATGACAGATACCACACTCAACATACTAATGTAAGAATTTTTAAAAGACATAAAAATCTAGCACTGTTGCTTAGATATAGTCTTGACTTTGATACAATGTAATTAAAAGATAATGGAATTCTTCCATAAACTTTCTGAAACTCCCGTGGACAGTTAAATTTTATTTTCATAAATTGATTTCATTTTACCTTTAGATACCAAACGCAGAAGATTCAAACTCATTGCTATCAATTCCAACTCACCGTGATCCTGTAATAGGGCAGGATAGAACTGTCCCCTAGGGTTTCAGAGGCTATAAATCTTTACTGGACCAGTCTCGTCTTTCTCCCATGGGTTTGAACCACTGCCCTGGAGGTCAACAGCCCAGTACATAACCCATTGCATCACTATTGTTGTTGTTGTTAAGTGCCATCGAGTCGGCTCCGACCCATACAGGGTTTCCGAGGGTGTCCATCTTTACGGGAGTAGAAAGCCTTATCTTTCTCCCGCGGAACGGCTGGTAGTTTCGAACTGCTGACCTTGCGGCTCACAGCCCGATTCGTAACCACTACACTACCAGAGCTCACTTCTTTAATTGTTGTTAGGTGTCTGTTGAATCGATTCCAACTCATAGCATCCCTGTATAGGGTTTCCAAGGCTTTAAATCTTCGCAGATAGGAGCTCTGACAGCTTAGTGGTTACGAATCGGGCTGCGAACCGCAAGGTCAGCAGTTCGAAACTACCAGCTGCTCCGCTGGAGGCGTTCTGCTCCCGTAAAGATTAACAGCCTCGGAAACCCTGTACAGGGTCGCTATGAGTCGGAACCGACTCCACGGCACATAACAACAACAAATCTTTGCAGGAGCAGAAAGCCCCATCTTTCTCCTATGGAGCGGTTGGTGGGCTACAACTGCTGACCTTGTGGTTCACAGTCCAGTGCTTATCCTATGAAGCCACCGCACTCTGAGTCAATGTCGACTCAAAGCGACCCGTCCTACACAGGAGCGGACAGCCTCATCTTTCCCCCGAGGAACTGCCTCTCTTGCAGTTAACAGCCCAATGCCTAGCCACAGCGCCAATAGGGCCCATTTTCAATGAGGTGGTCCTTGTTAAGTGCAGGGCTGAGGAGTCAGTAAAGGAGAAGTTACTGGAAAGAAAAGTCTTGAATTATAGTTCAAACGATGCAAATGTCATTATGAACCACAAGAGGGCAACAGTTTCAAGGACTGAAGCCATGAGTAAGGAATGAGAAATATATTAAATCAAGGAGCAATGTAAATCATGGAGCTGGTGAACCAGAGCTTCAACTATAATATAAAACTTAGAGATTATCACACTAGAGTTTTAATGTACAATAAACTTTATGACTGGATGAAAACTAAGAGATATCTCTTCTATCTAAGAAATTTCATGTTTAATTTTTTGTTTTCCTCCACATAAGTCACATGATTGTGGGGAGGGCGCAGGACCAGGCAGTGGTTCATTCTGTTAGGCATAAAGTGGCTCTGAATTGGAATGACAGTACATAGCAACAACAACATAAATCATGTGTGTGTGGACTTAATAGAAGATAGCCATTCTCTCTTCATATAGAAATTCTATATAAAATTACTATAAAACAGTAGCTCACATCTATATAGGGCCTTGCAGTTTTTAAAGTATTTTCATAAGAGCACCACTTTGTGCTCTGCACTTTACAAAGCTCTCTGAATGAGATATGCAGAATTATTATTAAATCTTTTTCATAGATGAAGAAACAGAGGCTTAGAAAAGTGAATGTCTTGTCCAAGTTCATACCAATAACAAGTAGAAAAGGCAGACTCTTATTCAGCTTATTTTCTATTGTTTTGGATGGCTGCCCATTAACCAAACAAAAATTATCCCTTGTATAGTCATGTATTTGGAGCACAATTTGAACCCAGTACTAGCCTAACAAACCGGTATGACCTTCACAGTGCTCATCGTGAAACTTCTGACACTTCAACATAACCTTTGTGATCATCTGACAGAAAGTGCAAGTAGAAATGAAATGTAAAGAGAATAGAACTGATTTCCAAAGGTCGACGAATGGGATAAAGGGGAAGCAGTTATACACAAACAGGGAGGAGGCATAAACAATCCTAACATGGATGAAATTCATGGACTACAAAGCAAATTGATTCCTATTGTTGGTGAGGCCCAGTGCCTAATTGTACCATCCTCAGTAAATATAGCATGTTATATTAATTACAGCAATTTAAACAGACCCAGGATCTGATGCCTAAAAATGGATTCCATTAGAGAGGAAACCTTGACATGGATGATAGAAAGAACACACAACATCCACAAACAGTATAAAAACAAACTCATAATGAGAACATTTGCTTCAGATTAATGTTACAAATCATCATAGAGAGCTCAAATAACGCATTTCCTTGGACCAATAGAGCCTGTTCAACTAAAAATAAATAAATAAAAATTGAAGGTATTCCTCATTTTTAAAAGTCTGTTATGTCCTCACAAGCTGACGTAGTCATCCCTTCTCCGCTCTCAGGCATTTAATGTGATAGTGAGTTCCTGTTTGTTCCTTCTACCTTAGCAGGTACCAATGGCAGAGGGAAGCTACAGGTGGCTGCCATACTACGGGCCTGGGTTTCTTCCTCCCATTCATTCATTCACTCAGCCAGGATTGTTGGGCCTGTGTGCCAGGCATAGTCAAAAGGAGATCATCAATAAATAAATGAACTCTGCCTCCATGGTGCTTGTAATCCAATAATGGATATAAATATGAAGCAACAGTTGTATGTTTGGGTATAATTAAAATATTAGATGTCAATAGGATTACACCTATCATAAAAGCCATTGTGTAGGTGATACTTAAAGCTGAGACTGGAAGGCGGGCAGCAAGAGGAGGACTTCAGGAAGGGGAACGGGGTATTCAATGTCCTCAGTAGGAAGTGCTTGGCTTGTCCAAGTAACTGAAGGGCTAAGTGTGCCAACAACTAACAAACATAATATGGAAGAAATAAAGTATAAAAGTCACATGCATAGATTTCTCCCTCTTGCAGGATATGACCACTAACGCCATCTTCAAGAAGCCTGGTTATGCATACGGTTGAACTGTTAGAGACACGCACACATATTAACTTCAATAACGGTTTATGAAGGTCCTTTTGTGTTTCTACTATGTCCTATCTCTCACGTCATAAAGCCATTAGATGGGACAGCAAGAAAGAAAGCACTTAAAACCACATATCTGAGGGGGGGCTTCAAAAGACTTGTGGCAAGATGCCATTAGCTTCTAATTCCATTTTTCCATGAACTTGTTGAAGCCCCCTGTACATATGAGTATGAGACACATCAGGAAGGGTGGGGAAGAAGTCCTATGTGTAGAGAATAGACATGTATGCATTATCATCAGGGGGGTGGAACTAAGAAGGTATTAATTACCAAGCCCCTCCTTGAAAGAGCAGAATGAGACTGACTTCTGGATTGAACTGGATTCAACTGAATTCATGGATTCTCAAAACAGAACCAGATTGGACAACACTTTCTCTTTCTCTCCCAGGGATGAGGATCAAATGAGATAATGTATTCAAACTGTACAATCTTCAGAGCAGAATGCACATTTTGTCTGCTAATTATTAATGTAAAAGTATATCCAATTTCATTCCAGGCTTAATTCCTATCACAAATGCAAGAAAGTATTCATCCTTTTTATATCATCTAATGCGATTCCCAAGACATGTTCCTAAAATAGTAAAGTCCTTCTTTTGTGTTCTATAAACCGTAAACTGGCTTTTTCTATTAATGAGAAATTACAAAATTAATATTTTATGCAAAGCTTATGGCAAACTTACGTTCCAGCGCATTATAAAGAAGCTCAAAATCTTCTTTTGTTTTAGGATTATGCCTCCGGTAATAGTCCATTTTCATCCATTCCTCTTTTTCTCTTATCTTCCTTATTTCCTCTTCAAATTCCCACTTCAGCCTCAACTTTTTCTGTCTCCTTAACTCTTCCACCTCGACTTTAGCATGCCATCGCCTGTAGTAAGTCTGTAACACTATGACCTGTGATTGACCCAAAAAAAAGAAGTACTCACCGTCAGCTTTGCTTCTGATGAAGAACTCAAGTCCCATTCAGCAAAAGAGTAAATTTGAATATCCTATTGATATCTAATGCTTCCAATTACACCCCAAACATTTCCTTCATATCACACACCAATTGAGAATCATCTTTCTCCTGCAGAGTGGCTGGTAGGCTTGAACCACCAACCTTGTGGTTCTCAAGCCAGTGTTTATCCAACAGAGCCACTGCACACCCAAATATACAACAGATACGATAAAATGTCTTCCATGTGTCAGCCATGTGTCCAGCGTAAAGTTCTAGAACAATGGAAGGATAGAAAGATAGATATTGGTGGAGAACAAATTCTAATGACCTCATTCAGTTTACTGTAACATGATCTGCAGAATATGCAGCACTTAGAGGGAACTGATAAGGAGCTCTGGTAGGGTACTGGTTACGAATCGGGCTGCGAACCGCAAAGTCAGCAGTTCGAAACTACCAGCTGCTCCGCGGGAGAAAGATGAGGCGTTCTGCTCACGTAAAGATTAACAGCCTCGGAAACCCTGTGCAGGGTCGCTATGAGTCGGAACCGACTCCACGGCACATAACAACAACAACAACAACAACAACAACAACAAGAGGGAACTGATACATTAAAAACTTGAGAAAATCCTTTAGAATGCAGGGCAAAGCACGCAGTAATCAGAAAGAAACAAAATTAAGAAGCAAGGAAGATAAATCCATACATCCTAAAATATGTCTGGTACAGTTTCCAACAGACAGACTGAAGAAAGTTGATTAGAGAAATGGCTCAAAACCTAATAGAGGAATATTAATAGACGTGGAATAAAAAAAGACGGGAGCTCTCAGAAAGGGTCCATCCAGTCTTATCCACATTATAATAAAGTTTAAAAGTAACAGGGAGCAAATGGAAACCCTACAAGTTTCTGGGGGGGAGGAGGGGGGGGACTAGGAAATAAGCTTCAAGTTAACATCAAACTCTTAACCAAATATAGCTTCAAAGTTATGGATGAAAATATTTTTGAAAGTTTAAACCTAACTTTCTACACCCAAATAAACTAAAATTCAAGTATATGGGTCATTCAGTAAGAACCTGGAAGGTTTATTCCCCATGTATATCTCTGAAAAAAAAAAATACATTCAAGCACAGAATATGTTCAACAAGGGGAACTGGTGGTAAGTGATTAAGTGCAAGGCTGCTAAGTGAAAAGTCTGTAGTTCAAATCCACCAGTCACACTGTGAGAGAAAGATGTAACAGTCTGCTTCTGTAAAGGCTTGCTGCTGTTGTTGTTAGGTGCCACTGAGTCTGTTCCAACTCTTAACAACTCAGTGTACAACAGAACGAAACACTGCCCTGTCCTGTGCCATCCTCAGCCTTAGAAACCTTGTGGGACAATTCTACCTTGTCCTGTCGGATTGCTATGAGTGCAAATCCATTCGACAGCAACAGCCTTATGTTCCAGCCAGAACGTTAAAGGTTGTTGTTGTTGTTTAGTGCCATTGAGTCGGTTCCAACCCATAGTGACCTTGTATAGGGTTTCCTAGGAGCAGACGGTGAGCTTGAAACGCCGACCCTGTGGTGCAAACGACTTTGTAGACTTATGTAGACTCTGCTACATAAATAAGAGGAGGGAGATGAAAATAGTGAGATAAAACCTCAAAAATAGTTCAGCTAAATACATTTTACTGAAACATGCTATATAAATGTAGGAGTCCTGGTGTGGCGCTGTGGGTTAATGAGCTAGACTGCAAAGTCAGTTTGAACTGCAAAGCTGGTGGTTCAAACTCACCAACCACTCCTCAGAAACCCTATACAGGGTCGTTATGGGTCGGAACCAACTCAACGGCACTTAATAATCATATAATATAAATGTAAGTATATAAAACAACAATCTGAAATCATAATTACATAAGCTATGTGACGTTCTGATGTGGTACTCACTGTGGAATAAGCACTGACTGGCTAACCACAAGGTCAGTGGTTCAAACCTACCAGCCTCTCCTTGGAAACGCTATACAGGGTCTCTATAAGTTGGAATCAACCCGATGGGACTTAACAATAACCACAGTGATTACAAAATACATTATACATTATATATATATATGGTTGGTTGGTGGTTATGTGCCGTGGAGTCGGTTCCAACTCATAGTGACCGTGTACAGGGTTTCCGAAACTGTAAATCTTTATGGGAGCAGAAAGCCTCATCTTTCTCCCGTGGAATAGCTGGTAGTTTCAAACTGCTGACCCTAAGGCTAGCAGCCCAATTCGTAACCACTACGCTACCAGAGCTCCTTACATATATATGTATATTTAGAGAGAGAGATGTGTGTGTATGCTGTCGTTAGATGTTGTCGAGTTGGTTCCAACTCATAGCAACCCTGAGTAGGATTTCCAAGGAGAGGCTGCTGGGTTTGAACCACCAAAACTGTGGTCAGCAGTCCAGTGCTTATCCTGCAGCACCACACCAGGACTCATACACATAAAAATTGAATTCCAGATCCAATCTTCACTGAATAAGAGGAACAAGGAAAAGGGAGTTAAGGAACGTTCTTGGTATTTTTATGAGGAAGTGTTTGACTATATATTTGATCTGAAGAGATGCAGATGTGTTAAAAAAAATGTTTTAAGAAACCATTTGTCAAATAGAAGTACTTACTTCTGAATTATAAAAGAATAAAAAATGAGAAAGGTTTCACCAAACCAATAAAATGAAGGATATGTGAATGAAACATTCATGAAATAAGAGTGAATTTACTTAATGAGTAAACAAAAATTACAAATTGAGATGACAAGAATGAGTCCAAAAAAAATCTATAATGATACATAATATAATCTTGCCTAAAACAGGAAAGATTTGAAATAAGGACTAAGCATTGAGCCCCAAAAGCTACGCAAAGAGTCAAAAGCAACAGGATTAAAGTAGAAAGGAATGGACGAAGATGAAGGAGCTTAAGGCTGAAGGCGACTTGTTCTTTTATCTAGGAGGAGACTGGAGACAAAGACAGTTTTTCTTACCCATGAACTGTGGCTCACACTCATGGGCTGCTCTTTTCCAATCTAGTGAAGTTTAAAGAAGCACACACCGCCGTAGGCATGTACACAGAACAACTGGTTTATATAGTTAACTGTTAGTAGTCATCAACAATGAAATTCTTCTTACCGCTTGCAACCTTTGAGCATGGTATTCTGCAGCTGTAAAATATCTTCCTGGTATGACCAGTTTATCTGTCATATTTGATACGTACACACCAATTTTAGTCATCTGTGTGGATGTTGTATTTGCAGTTTGTTGGAACTTTTTTCTCTCAGAAACTGTCTAAAAGATAAACATAAAAATGTAAATAAGTATCCACTACAAGGTCGGTTTGAACCGCAAGGTCAGCAGTTCAAATTCACCAGTGGCTCCCGGAAACCCTATACAGGTTTGCTATGAGCCGGAACCAACTCAACAGCACTTAACAACAACAACATATGTAAACCTCAATGAGTCAAGAGCCTACATATTTCATTTCTCATACTAGCTTAATATTTAATTTGAGAGTCATATCACATCATTTTTTACTCTATAGCTTCAAGAACCAAAATGAAAACTGAATTAAACGAAAACTTTTACCTGGGTATTCCTAGAGAATACATTGACTTTTCCATGAATCTTTTTAGGTACAGTTTGTGTCCCAGCATTGTAATATTCTATCCCTGTTATCTTATGTCTGAATCCACCAACAAATGGTTTGTGAAAGTCAGATTTTACAATCTCAACAGCTACATCCTGATGCTGATCAACGCCTGAGGAGATAAAACAAGACAAAATCAAAGTCACCTTCAGAGACTCTAACATACTACACCCAGAAAACACCATGTAACTAACCAGTTTCTACTCGGACAGTTATGATCTGAGATCCATTGCTTAGCCTAGCTATTCTTTTGATAGGATATACATCTGGATCTGTAGAAGTGATTTCCACTTGCACAATTTCCTGGGGCTTAACTCCGTGTTCTAGTAGAGTCTCGTTATTTTTTAGAATTATTCCTAAGAAAAAGAGAGAGAGAGAGGTAAGATTGTAGATAGTCTTATAACAAACAAATGATGATACGTACATAGATGTAGGAATCCTGGTGTGGCGCTGTGGGTTAATGCATTGGACTGCAAAGTTGTTTGAACAGCAAATGGTTCAAACGGTGTTTCAAGCTCACTGCTTCTCGAAAACCCTATACAGCGTCGCTATGAGTCAGAACAAACTCAATGGCAATTAACAACAAATATATATATGAGTATGGTGTCTCCATAAAATAAGCAATGGACTGCAAACCACAAGGTCCATGGTTCAAGCTCACCAGCTGCTGCAAAGAAGAAAGATGAGGCTTTCGGCTCCCTCTAAGATTTAAAGTCTCGGAAACCCTATACAGGGTTGTCGTGAGTCGGAACTTAACAGCAACATGTTGGTGGTGGTGGTGGCAGGTGCTGCCAAGCCGACATGGATTCATAGCGACCTTATTCACGACATAGCAAAGCACTGGCCGGGCCTGCACCAACCTCACAATCATTGCTACACTTCAGCCCATTGCTGCCGCCGTGCCAATCCATATCACTGGGGAGTCTTCCGCTTTTTGCTGACCCTCCACTTTACCAAGGATGACATCACGCAGCAATATATATGTCTGGCACTGAGAGCTAATATGCTGCTAGTCGGTTAAGTGCTGTCTAGTCGGTTCCAACTCATAGCGACTCTGTACTGGGTTTCCAAGAAGCAGCTGGTGAGTCTGAACCGCTGACCTTGTGATTCAAACCAAACTTGCAGTCCAATGCTTTATCCCAGAGTGCAGATAAACGCACTCACTCCTGATAAAGTGGTTGTACCCCCAATGAGATGAATTGGCACAGTAGCAGCAATGGGCTCAAGTATAGAAACAATTGTGAGGACGGCTCAGGGCCAGTGTTTCGTCCTATTGTGCACAGGGGCGCTGAATTGGAGTCAACTTGATGGTACCTAGGGAGTCCTGGTGTGGCACTGGACCACAAGTTACGGTTGAACCACAAGCTTGGTGGTTTCAACTCACCACTCACTCATTGGAAACCCTGTACTCGTTGGAAACCCTATATAGGGTTGCAATGGATCTGAACCAACTTGAGGGCACAAGGTAGAGTTAAGTAATAGCTTTGTGCTGGAAAAGGTATGCATTATGATTAGAATGTTGAATTTGTTACTGCCTATGCCTTTGAGTTATGGTGTTAGAGAAGAACACTAAAAATGCCATGGGTTGCCAAAAGAACCAATAGGTCTATTTTGGAAAAAGTGCAGCCAGAGTGCTCCTTAGAGGCCAAGATGGCCAAACTTCATCTCTCATACTTTGGACATATTGTCAGGAGGGGCCAGTCGCTGGAGAAGCATATCATGTTTGGTAAGGTGGAGGGTCAGAGAAAAAGAGGAAGACCCCTAACGAGATGGATTGGCCAAGTGGCAGCATCAATGGACTCAAGCGTGGCAACAGTAGTGAGGTTGGTCCAGGATCGGGCAGTGTTTCATTCTGCTGTGCAAAAGGTCGCTATGAGTTGGATTCGACAACACCTAACAACAACAATGGGCTCCATAGGATAAGCACAGAATTGTGAACAACAAGATTGGCGTTCCAGCCCACCAGCTGCTCCACTAGAGAAAGATGGCGCTTTCAGCTCCTTCAAAGATTTACAGCCTCAGAAACCCTTATACAGGGTAGCTATGAGTCAGAACCGACTCAATGGCAGTTAGCAACAACAGTGGAGTTCATGGCATCTCCATGTGTCTGTTTGTGTGTTACACTTTGTTAATTTATCCTCTTAAGCGCCTCAGACAGTGGTTATTTAAATCAACTGTTTTTAAGTTGCTGTTGTTGTTAAGCGCCATTGAGTTGGTTCCAGAGCAGCTACTGAGTTTGAACCACAGACCTTATGGTTTTAACGTCCTATTTTTCACTTTAAAAAAAAAAAAAAAGTATAAATGTCAGTTGAATTCATGGTAGGATGGAAATGATCCCCAATTCTCGGAACCTATGAATGTGCTCATGTATGATAAAAGGGGCTTTCCAGATGTGATTGTACTGGGGATTTTGAGACAGATTATCCTGGTGGGTCCTAAATGTAATCACAAATGTCCTCATACAAGGGAAGTTGAGGGAAATAAGACAAGAAGAAGATGTGATCAAAGCAGAGGCAGAGAGAGCATAAAGATGCTAAACTGCTGGTTCTGAAGATGGAGACGGGACCAGGAGCCAAGCAATGCAGGGAAGTGGCTTTTCTCAATGGACAGAGGGAGCAGCACTCTCAGGGCACCTGGATTCAGCCCAGTGGAAGGGATTTAGAGCTCCGGCCTCCTGAACTGTAAGAGACGTCATCTGTGTTGTTGTAAATCACTCAAATTCTTAGAATTGTGCTAATTTATTAGAATCTAATAAGATTCCCAGAGCCCTCTAAATTCCTCTACTTGCTTATGTAGAGAGGTTTGTTGTGCTCTGTGGAGTCGATTCTAACTCACCGTGACCCTATACAACAGACTACAGCTGCCCCATTTTAGGATTTCCTAGGCTGTAATATTTATAGGAACAGATAGGGCTCACGTGAAGTAGCCGCTGAGTTGGAACTTCCGATTGGCAGGCAAGCCTCAATCATTGCACCACCAAGTTTAATATGTAAGCTTACCCACCAGCCACTGCCATCAAGTCAATTCTGACTCATAGTGACCCAGTAAAGAGTTTCTGAGCAGCATCTGGTGGGTTTGAACTGCCTACCTTGTTTATCCTACAGCGCCACGCCAAGACCAAGATTTGTTGTCATTGTTAAGTGCTATCAAGTCGCTTCCAATTCATAACTACCCTCTATAGTGTTTCCAAGGCTGCAAAACTTTGTAGGAGCAGATAGCTGGTGGGCTCGAACTGCTGACCTTGTGACTCAAAGTCCAGTGTTTATTCTTCAAAGCCATCACACTCCAAGCTTTTTTTCTTCTTAAATGCGGCTGAGTCAGTTCCCACTCATAGCCACCCTGGAGAGGGTTTCCAAGGAGCAGCTGGTGAGCTTGAACCACCAACCATGGAGCATATTTATCATCACAGATTTCTAAAACTAATTTTGAAATGAAAAGGATTGTTTGCCCTCTGATTTAGCAAGGTGGAAAAACTTGAAAGGTATGGCAAACTCCTTTTTTCATGTTTAGGACTTTTTGAGAAAAAAAGTTCCTGCTTCCTTGGAATCTTTTTGTGACATCTTTATGAGTTAATGCCAAAACATTGTAAACTAAAATTTTAGGCTTTGTGCAAACATATTCTATTTAAACATTCATTTAGCAAAACTAGTCTGGTTAACTGTATTGCAATTCAAAGACGCTGTGCTTGCCGGACAAAAGGCCAGGATAACTTCCGTGGGCTGCTCAGTCCCATCCATACAATCCTTAGATTGTATGGATGCACCTCGTGGCAGTCTGAAGTGACCTTTACATAAAGAAGATTGATAACCCGTTCTCAGTTCTTCTATCATTCTATCTACTCTTCTTCATCACCTATTTCCTCTATCTCATTTCCTTCCACCACCCACATATAGGCTACTTCTAGATGCTCTAAGGAGTCCTGGTGTGGTGCTATGGGTTAATGAGCTGCACTGCAAGGTTGGTATGAAACAAAGGGTTGGCAGCTCAAGGCACTTAACAACAACAAGCTACTTTAAGCATCTTACCATTGCCCCAGATTCTCTCATCTTTGGGACTTCACATAAGTGTTACCACTTTGATTAACTGATGATGAAACTTTTAGCCTCCCAGGTCTCTTCCTTCATGATCCCGAATGCAGTTTTTTGCACATATCTCCATTAAAGCATTTATACATTACGTGGCAACTGCTACATGCGTCTTCTTCTTAACTGGGAATAAATCAAAACTAAAACCAAACTCACTGCCATTAAGTCAATTACAACTCATGGTGACCCTTCAAGGAGTTTCTGATATTCTAAGCCTTTACCAGAACAGAAACCTCATCTTTCTCCCAACCTTCTTGTGTGCTGTTGAGTCAGTTTCAACTCAGAGTGACCCTGTGTAGGGTTTTCAAGAGCATCTGGTGGGTTTGAACTGCCAACCTTGAGGCTAGCAGTCTAGTACTTATCCTACAGAGCCACACCAGGGCTGTATCTTCCTTCCTTCTATGCATAACATAGAGCAGGAACTTATTTCATGGTTCTTTGTATCCCCAGCTCTTAGCAAACTATTTCAAATAAATTTTGTCCTTAATAAAATGTGTTGAATGAATAAATGCATAGCCACAACACAGTATTTAAAGTGTAAATATCATGGATACTTAGTCTAACCAGCAAAAGATCTTGAAGGTTTACATGTAAAAATCGCAAAGTCCTGATAAGTTTTATTAGCCTCTAAACTTACCTGAAGATGTCATCTGCAGTTTATCAGATGGAATATTTAACAAGTTTGAAAAATAATCCTTGAGGTGTTTAAACAAGATTTCAACTCTAAAAGACATTATAATTTCCTGGGCCACAGGAAGAAGCACAATTTTTACTGTAGATAAAGGAAATAAAGGAGCCATAGTCAAATATAGGTCAGACACTCATCCAGCATAAATATCAACTTAAAATGTAATGATGTTCACTTATGCAAGAAGAACAGATTCTGCAGAAGAACAGAGAAGCTTTCCTGTCTAGTAAAAGTGATTCAACCAATGTACCTAAGAAAGATTGGGAGATACGAGAAAAGGAAGGTGGTATGAAAGAAACACTTTAAACATTTAAGCAAACAAACCGCTAAGAAAAAGCAACCAGCCTTCAAAATGAGGACATGCAATATCTTTTCCTCCCTAGGGGTTACCTGTTGCTGAAGAATCTTGCCTTGATGATTTCAAAGACTCCTTTATGGTCTTAACTTTATCCAGAAATACCAGATTCTCATCTGAATGTTGTGTGGAGGGCTGCTCTGCATTATCCGATTTGGTTAAACTCTGCTTGTCATCACTTGCTGAAGTATATGATACTCGGATGGGCGGAACAGCCTCTTCCATAAATGATTCTTCATCTTCTCCCTCCAGGCTTACGTAGCTGTGTGGGCTGGAGTTACTACGCAATTCAGCACGTGTTTCCCGGCCATCACTGGATGACACCAGCTCAGAGACATTTTGATCTTCATTCTGATCTGACTCCAGAAGGTCTTCTGTGGAAACTGGAATATTGACAGTCTGAAAAGCCTCGTGGCTTCCTTGGGATGTATCCGTTAAATCCTGAGCATCAAATTTCTCCTCCTGCTCAGACATTGTCCTGAGGTGAGATACAACAAACACATTGATCAACTCATACGAGTAGGCTGTTACGGAGCTCTAGTGACGCTGTAGGATAAGCACTGGACTGTTCACAAAATCGGCAGTTCAAACCCACCAGCCTCTCCGTGTAAAGATTTATAGTCTAAGAAATCCTATACAGGAATTGACTGGACAGCAGTAGGTTTGGAATTAGGCTACTAGTACACAAATGTTGCAATCTGCATGAGGTACCCGTGAAATGGTCCCCAGTGATAGGATCTATTATAAAGGCCGAGATCAAAGAATTTGCTGAAGAACTGGAAGCAAGCTGTGTTACAGCGAGGTATCAAGGTTACCTCAGATACTTTCAACCACAGTAACTAAACACTGCAAGTAAGGCAAGTTCGAGGCGGAGGTGAGATTAGATAAGAATTCTATTTTGGAAATGGGATACTCTTTTACAAATTGTAGTTATGGTGTTGGAGGAGAATATTGAAAGTGCCATGGGCTGCCAAAAGAACAAACAGATCTATGTTGGAAGAGGTGCACACGCCAGAGTGCTCCTTGGAGGCCAGGATGGCCAAACTTCATCTCTGATATTTCAGACATATTGTCAGGAGAGACTAGTTACTGGAGGATATCATGTTGGTAAGAGAAAAAGAGGAAGACCCCAGCAAGATGGATTAGCAGTATGGTAGCGACAAGTGGCTCAAAAGTGGCAACAATTGTGAGATTGGCCCAGGACTGGGCAGTGTTTTATTCTGTTGTGCATAGGGTCACTATGAGTTAGTACCGACTCGATGGCACCTAACAACAAAAACAACAATGTAATATATGTTTAATATTGCTGCATAAAGCATGTAATTCTGCCTCATTCTTTTCAACAACTTCCTAGTCATTCCATTGCAGATTTAAGCCACATGATCAATTCAACTGTTACCGTGTAGATGGACATGTAAGCTATAGGCAGTTTCTTGGTACTAAATGTGACAACACCTTATACTTCTATCTTTGTACATATGTGTAAGTATATTGTAATATAAATTCCCAAAACTAGAGTGGATGAGCCTAAGGGCACGCACATTTTTATTGTTAAGAAGTTTGTAAGAAGCACAGAAAAGATCAGTGGTGGAGGGAACATAGAGAGTGCGGGGTGAGGAAACTGACTGGAAAGCTCTCTCGTGTACTAATGGCCACCAAGAATGGCTAAACGTTTCAAATGCCTGAGTCACAAGCACCACTGGCTTCTCTAGTATTCCCTCATAAGCACTCGGGTGGAGGGGCTGTGCAGTTCTAGCTTTATGCTGCTGCTGAATCCCCAAATCTAAGAATCAGATCCAGAAATCACGTCAGGAATCTTAGACTGCTATGCACGGTTTTAAAGTGAAAGTACACTATTTCCGACAGACCAGACGACCTCCGGAGCCCAAGCGGGATCAGTTTCGTACAGGATCCTCGCACTCCGGGGCGGCTGAACAACAGGCTCAGGTTGGCCGAAGCGTCCGGACAGGAGAGGACGTCGAAACTCTCCCTCCTACCTGACTACGAACCAACTGCGGATACTCCCCTCGAAACCGTCTCTCTGGTTTATGGAAAGCAGCTTCTGGACTCGCCAAGTTCTTTGTTGACGGTCGTATCCTAGCAACGGCCCTTGCACCTCCTCCTCCCGGCAAGGCACCGCCCCCTAGAAGAGACCGTGCGGCTCAAGGAAGGAAAGCTACAAGGGCACGGGGAGGAGCTAGAGAGCGCGAGTGGGCGGGGCGTGGGGCAGGGGGCTTGGGCCACAGTGCATGAGGAGCTGGGGGTGGGGGAACAAGCGGAAGGTGCTGGAAGTAAAGTATTGTCATTCAAAGTGATGCTTATTCATAGATTTAAGAAATCTGGACCACAGAAAACATAAATATGGTACAGAAGTAGGTGCCTATTTGTTTTGGTTCAATTCAAAACTTGGCTTCCCGGAAGCCAGAGAGAAAGCCAGAGACTGTTCCCTAAGTCCAGAAAAGCAGAGAAGTTTCTTTGAGAACCTTCAAGAAATACAATAAAATGTGGTAAAAAGGTCCTCAAGTATGTTTCTTTTGTAAATGTAGTTCGTGAAACTAGCTCATAATTTGTTTGTATATGCCTTCCAAGTGACCCTAGATAGGGTTTCCAAGGAGTGGATGGTAGGTTTGAACCACCGACCTTTCTGTTAACTGTCCAATGCTTATTCTACAGTGCCACACTAGGCCTCCCATCTCATAATAATAAGGACTATTTCTTATTTTTGCCAGTAAGCTTTCATATGCAGAGAGACCTAGAACTGAATGGGTTGGCCTTGGTTTTCTAGGTCTGCAAAGATTTCTGCCTTTGACAATAACATTAAATGGAAGTAAGTGCATTTTGATCACTTGTACACATTCCTAAAGACTAGGATAACGGACAAAAAGGGCAAGCAGATAACTGGTATTACACTGTGGGTTAATGCACCAGACTGCAGTCATTTGAATTACAAGATCGGTGGTTCAAGCTCACCAACTGCTCCTCGGAGATCCTATACAGAAAGGGTCACTATGGGTCAGAATGGACTCAACCGCATTTAACAACAATTACCAGATGCCACATAACATTTGTAGAACAGTGTACCCAACAACTCACCCACCCCCATCTTAAAAATTGTCTCATAAACGTTACTAGTTGTGAGAACTTCTTTGGCTTTAATGCTTATCTTTCCGGGTCTTCTCTTTAAACTTTTTGAAATGTTCAGGTGGAATTAAATCTGTCATTCACTACCTTCTACGTAAAAAGCTCTGGTGGCACCGTGAGTTAGACATTGGACTGCTGATGCAAGGTTGGTGGTTCAAACCTACCAGCCACTCCTTTGGAGAAAGATAAGGCTGCCAGCTTCCATAAATACTTACAGTCTTGGAAACCCATATAGGGTCGCTATGAGTAGGGGTCACAGTGGCAGTGGGCAGTGAGTTTGGTTAGGGCTGATTTTCTATGTAGGGACAGTATGAAAGTACTAGATTTCAGCACAAAGGGAGTAGATACACAGAAGAAAAATAGGTGGTGGAGAACTTCAAGTACTTCACAGTATTAAATGTGATTTAATACCACTATAAGGAGTCCCTTGCTTGCTGAAAGTGAAGAGGACTTAAAACATTTACTGATGAAGATCAAAGAACACAGCCTTCGGTATGGAATGCATCTCAATGTAAAGAAAACAAAAATCCTCACCACTGGACCAATAAACAACATTCTTATCAATAGAGAAAAGATTGAAGTTGTCAAGGACTTCATTCTTCTTGGATCAACTATCAACATTTGCGGAAGCAGCAGTCAAGAGATCAGACGACATATTGCATTAGGCAAATCTGCTGCACAGGAACTTTTTAAAGTGTTGAAGAGCAAAGATGTCAGCTTGAGGACTAAGGTGCGCCTGACCCAAGCCATGGTATTTTCAATAACCTCATATGAATGCGAAAGCTGAACAGTGAATAAGGAAGATCGTAGAAGAATTTATGCCTTTGAATTGTGGTGTTGGAGGAGAATACTAAAAGTGCCAAGGACTGCCAAAAGAACCAATAGATCTGTTTTGGAAGAAGTGCAGCCAGAGTGCTACTTTGAGGCCAAGATGGCTAAACTTCGTCTCTCAAACTTTGGACATATTGCCAGGAGGGAACAATCGCTGGAGAAGGATGTCATGCTGGGTAAGATGGAGGGTCAGAGAAAAAGAGGAAGACCCCCAACGAGATGGATCGGCCAGGTGGCATCATTGATGTACTCAAGTGTGGCAGCAGTAGTGAGGTTGGCCCAGGATCGGACATTGTTTCATTCTGCTGTGCATGGGGTCGCTATGAGTCGGTTCCGACTTGATGGCACCTGACAACAACAACATAAGGAGTCCTGATAGTATAGTGGATTACAAACTGGGCTGCTACCCAAAAGGCCAGCAGTTCAAATCTACCAGTCACTCAATGGGAGAAAGATGAGGCTTTCTGCTCCGGTAAAGATTTACAGCCTTGGAAATGAGTTGGAACTGTCTTGACAGCCACGACCACTGTATGCTCACATTTTATGCTTTGCTGCAGAGATAGCTTATACAACTCTTAGAATTGTTTTTGTTAAGTGCCGTCGAGTCGCTTCCAACCTATAGCAACCCTCCCTGTATAGAGTTTCCGAGGACTGGCTGGTGAACCTGAACCGCCTACCTTGCAGTTCAAAACGGCTTTGCAGTCTGGCACATTAACCCACAGCGCCATACCAGGACTCCTTAGAGTAGGAACCTAATTTAATTGGCTTGGACGATTATTACCATATCAAAATAGTACACACAAATAGGCATGCACACACACATACCAAGAGTTTGTTTGCCGACATAAATATAAATGCAAGCTAAAACAACTAATAGGAAAAAGACTCAGTTCCAGAAGTGGAAAACTAATTTTAAAAAATCATTTTCAGGCTTACTTTTCATAACAAAAACATGCATTTTCTCTGGATTTATTCCTTAAAGATACTCATCTTTCTCATAAAACATCTGCCTTTATTTATTGTGGTGTTTATTATCTGAGAATTGTTTAAATGTTCTTTTACAAAGACTGCCACCTAGTGGCTTTATGAAATCTAGCATTTCAGAGAATTCCCCATTACAGTAGACTAAAATGTATTTTGGACTCCTGGTGTGGCCCTGTAGGATCAGCGCTGGACTGCGAACCACAAGGTTAGCAATTCAAACCCATCAGATGCTCTTTGGAAACCCTATACAGGATCGCTATGAGTCGGAACCAATTCTATGGTGCTTAATAGCAGCAACAAAATGTATTTTGATAATGCACTGTAAGGTCAGCACTAGGCTGTGAACCACAGACCGGCAGTTCAAATCCACCAGTGGCCACACGGAAACCCTACTACAGGGTTGCTATGAGTTGGAAATGACTTTACGGTACTTAACAACAACAATGTGTCAGAAAAATACATTAGAAGAATATTTTGGAAATTTGGACTATAACGTCTCTTTGTGAGCTTGTGAAAAG